TTTTTTTTTTTTTTTTTTTTTTTTTTTTTTTTTTTTTTTTTTTTTTTTTTTTTTTTTTGGGTCCGGACATTTTTGCACCCCGGGGACCGGTCCGGACTGTCTGGTGTCCGGTGATGTCCGGATCACCGGTCAGTCCGGACCGGTCCAGACACTGGTCCGGAAGACAGTCCGGAAGTGTCCGGTGTCCGGGTCCGGGGTTACCATGATTAGTATATTTTTCTCTCAATTTCACCTTTTCACAGCCCACCTACCACTACTCCTAAGCCTATACAGGAGACCCCTGCAAGCATAGCTACCTCTCACAATTGAGGGGATTCATGTTGACCCCCGCCTTAATTGGCGGTGGTCAGGGAGCAGGGTGGAGCCGCTGGTGGGGGGAGGCGGCTAACGCAAAGACCCAACATTTTGCCAGTATCTGCGCCTCCCCTATACTTCCCTCGCCCTCATTGAGTACCAGCAGTGTCTATGGCCAGCATTACACGCACAGCTGTGATGGCCAAAGACCCTACCAATACCGAACGGGCGGAGCAAGCCAGCTATCTCAGTTGGTTGGCACCCAGAGAGCCACAGGTGGTCAGTGGGGCTTGAACCCACGACCTCCTGAATGCCACTTGCGTGCCTACCGTCTTCCCCCGAACAAACATACCCTGAAAATGAACCTATATAAGGCATGTTTCCGGCCCACCCGTGTTAACCGGCGGGCACTTGTTCTTCAATCATATAAAGGTACTGGTGGTTTATCCAAATGCAGCTTGTGACAACCCTCCCTCCAGTATTTCCCTTAGTTCCCTCTCATCAGGATCTAGTACTCGCAGCACAAGTAGCTCCCCAAGAATAATATCAGACTCTGGGACCCCTACATCAGTAGGTAGCTTCCCAAGAATAAGATCAGACTCTGGGACCCCTTTTTTTTTTTTTTTTTTTTTTTCCGACCAGACTCTGGGACCCCTACATCGGTAGTTACCTGTTATGGATCGATACTTTCTGGCATCAGGCCCATCCGTGCACGCACGGACTTGAACCGCTAGCCTTGGCCACAAAAGTTTAAGTCCCTTAAACCACCTACGGTAGTCCAATTGCCACTGCATTGTAGATTTGACTTGTTTTCGAGTAGTGGGTCACAATCTACAATGCCGAGACCCGGTAGAGGTGTGGTGGGAAAGGGCTACCATCTTCAATTTTCCAAAGGCCTGCACTGTAGATGTTAGGCTCTGCAAAATGCATTTTGGGGTTTGTCAATTTAGCTCTGGATGAGGCAAATAAAGTTTAATAAAAAAAATAAATAAAAATAAATTAGCTTTCAGATGGACCAGTGGTCTAACCACTACAGGCAGGGAACATTGTTTTTTTTGAAATGGGAATAGTATGAAATTATCAATCGTGATATCCAGCCCATCACTGGAAGGCTGTTGTATGTGGTGTCCTTAACTCACTTACACCACATACAAGACACACGGACGCCGCAGTGCTCGCACACTTCGCTCCAATCAGCATGTGACCCCCCGGTCACTCACAGGGGACTCTAAAGTTCTAAACTGCTTGCAGGTTCCAAAGCGGTTTCCACAGCAGGGGTGGATCCATATGCCCTACATCAGACATGGGCTCTTATCCCTATTTGAGGTAGCTACACCCTCACTGATGTTTAATAACTTCAATTTACAACAAAAGAAAGGATAGAGTGCTTGAGAATGTCTGTGACGACTGGCTGTGTCGCCGTCATCTGACAATCACATTAAGAGCATAAATCACACGAGGACTTCTTTGGCCGAATGCTGGACGTAATTGTGGTCAGATACATCAAGGTCTGGCAGTAGTTTTGGTGAAGTACATTCAGAAAAGTCCTAGCTTGAGTATGCCCTTATTATTGCTCTTTTTTTTTTTTTTAAAAGGTAAGCTATATTCTTCTCTCATCTATCTCATTTTTCTTGATAGTACGCATCTATCTCATCCTCTCACTATTCTATATATAGTATGGGGGAACACCAACCAACCCGGATCCCTCCCCAGCCCACGCTGTTGCTACATGTAATGAAAATAATCAGTCGCCTTGACAATTTGGATAACTGCATCATCATTACATACCTTCACATGCTTCTGCAAAGCATTTGCCAGCTCCTCTATATCATGCTGCTCCAACCAGTCCACATGATCCATCAAAATGACCTGAGAGAGAGAGAGAGAGAGAGA